TCACTGTTCAAGAAGGATGGACGGACCGACGGAGAAAGACGCGTTTAGGAAATGGCGGAAATGATGGAGACGGCGCTCCGATCGGTGTGTCGCGTCGCTCGCGATTGGACGGTCCGATCGAGAACTATGGAAGCGCGCGAAATTCGAATGTGTCATTGCGCGCCATATGGGGCAGAGGATTCCATTATTGCTTTATAATGCATATCGAAAAAGAAAGAGAGAGAAAACATTTATTGCTGTTCTAGAACAAGCCTTCTAAGAACTTCAGAACAAGTAAATAATAACGTTCAAGAGTAAGAAATGCAAAATAAGAAAATTAACAAGCACAATTAGCGCAGAAATTAAAAAAAAATATTACACGAGGATAAATTAAATAAAATGAAATAAAATATAATGTAATATAATATAATGTAATGTAATATAATATAATATAATGTAATATAATATAATGTAATGTAATATGTAATGTAATATAATGTAATATAATATAGTGAGAGAGAATCAGAATAAAAATCATTATTTATTAGACGCTCTGGGACTGTAGCCCTAAAGCGTACATACATTTTTACATGAAAGAGAGAACAATAATGCAAATTATATTTTGAAAATGCATGAGTTAATTATGACACGTCGCTGTCATTCAAAATACCAAAATCTATTTCTGTAAAATTTTCCGTTAGGGCCTATCCAGACAAACTTCCACAGCACAAAAACGTCCTTATGATAGAAATACAATCGGATATTGATGCAAATAGGATAATTTCCTTTATGCATATGCAAATTGAATAATTTCCTTTATGCGACTATGCAAATTTGTCTAGATCTAGATAGACCCTTATTAAAAATTATGATCATACATACGCGTTTATTATTTTTCAAATCCAACATATAAAAAAAAAATAAAATTGAACTCGGAATTAACAGTTTTCAAAACATTTATTCATTGTAAATACATTGTTTGTTTGCCTTCCAAAAAAATTAGGCTCATATGGGTCTCGTAAAAGGCGATTTCGTGAATCCGTGATTATTATCTATGTTTCCTCGAGTCGAAACAGAAGTTTGACTATAAGAGTCGCAATTTTCTTCGGAATCGACTATCGGTTCTTATCATATTTTATGAACCAGACAATTTATTCATTTTTATATAATTTAAATTTCTTAAAAATGTATAAAGTATCAATTTTTTTACAAAGAAATGAAAAATTTATTAAGAATTGAAAGCCTTATTAATAAATACAACGCCGATCATTTTAATATAAACCTTGATTATTTTGACGACTATATTACAAAAATTAACTACAATTTAATAATTGATTATTTTTTATTCGCAATGTCATCCAAGTTCTTGCGATTACAATTCAAATTTCTTATTAAAATCCCTCCTCTCTTTCTTTTAGCAATACATTCAATTATTCCTACTTAATGTGTCACAAAATTATAATCATTTTTTTTAATAAACAATGTCTCTTTATAAGAGAATTAATTATTTAATCATTCTATTTTTAAGGCATATCTTGACTCGAGATAATTTGCGATTCATATGTTCTAAAGTAGAAAAAATTATATAGATTTAAATTTTTAATGTTTCTCCGCATCATTATTTATTATCTATTTATTATACCATATTTTGCGCCGTATGTCTTTATCGCTTTATTGTTTAACGAAAGCCACATTATTTCACTTAATAATAATCATCAATGATGTAAGTCATTCAAGAAAAACATAAATGATAAAATTTCCTTTCGCGAGCTTTCCTTTTACTTCGTTTTCCATTATTTCTGGGCCGTGCGATCGATCGCATATTGCTTTCACAAATCAAAATCAATTATTAATATTCAGTTATTTGTATCACTCGTTAATACTCGTATATAACATTATATATTTCGCTTACATTTTATGGTCCCTACAAAAAATACATTATGTCTATAAGCAGCTTATATTACTATAATAATCATGTATATGTACATAACAATTTTTCATTTAAATATATGTATTATGATCTCTAATATATGAATACTCGATCGCTCCGTTCCGTTCTTCCTTGCTTTTTCTTTATAGATTCTCGCTCAATCATTAGTTTGCTACAACATACACACACACACACATACATACACACACTTGCGCACGCGCGCAGATACATCCTTTTTAAAACAGTTTCTTTTACACTTATTGTAGCTCTGGAATGTTACATGCAATAATCTTATTGAGCGTGATAAAAATTGGATCGAACCGAGCAAAGCGTTTTTTGGTTAAAATTAAAAATGTAGTACTATCAGAGTGAAAATTATCGTACCAATTATATTATCAGTGGAATAGTGATGATAATAACAATATTCGTAGTCGGATTTAAGACCGTCTTAATTGCAGTCTTAAAATATCATCACCAATCAGAGAGTCACACATTTTAGCATCTTAAGACATTATTTAAGACGGTCTTAAAATAAGAACGGACTATGAATACAGCTCGCAGTATCGATAATAGCAACAGTGTTAATAATAGTAATAGTTACAGCAACGCAATACGACAGTTGTAAAACTAACGCTAATCGTGAGGCTAAAATCGATAAAAGAATAATAGAAAAATCAAGAAAATGCTACTAAAAATCCAATAATCATAGACGACATTATTTAAAAAGGAAACACAATGTGTGTAGGGGAAAAATTCTTACAAAAGTATTTAAGTATTTAAGTAACATCGTTGAAAGTCTATAAATGTGAGCTACGTATAAATTATTAAATTACATGCGTATCGATAAATCGCCTTTGAAATGAATTACGCGCTACTCGTCTTTCTCATTTCGTCAGTACGCGTAAAAATTAGAAATATCGCTTTATCATGGCAACCTCGCGAATATTACGTTATGATGCAATACGCGATTGTTTCTCTTTCAAAGAGATTTGCTCAATACAAATCATTAATTATTTACAGTACAATCGCTTGGAATCAGATCCGGCATTAATCCGCAGCTCTGCCTATCGGTATGTAGATTGAATTAAATTTGATTTAACATGTGTATTTTCCCTCTATTCACAGCACTTGTTATTATTCCCTACGATCTTCTTCAAAGGTTACCGTTCGGAAGAAGTTTATATCACAAAGTAGGTATACACACACATATATATATATACATATATAATACTAAATAATTATATATATAATTATTTAGTTAATATGTCAATGTTTTACGGAGAGATCATATTGTTCTCTCAAAACTAGTGCGAACGGTCGACTTTGATGAAGAATATACATTAATCTCGAAATATTCCTCTAAAATATAGCATATTGTATCATATTACAATTTGAAAAATTGACAGTGGCGAGCCAAACGGGGAGAAAATATGATAAAACTATGTGAAACTAAGACTATTCTTCTAGAGGCATATGTAAATCTATTTAGTACCCTTATCATTGAAGCGCATAGCTACAAATAGATAAGTATCCCAATTGACCAGCGAACGTATGCGCTAAAAGCAATTGCATATAAATTGTTTTTTAATACAGTTTATTTATGGCTCAGTACTCTTTCAAATGTTTCATTGAAGTTAAATATAAGTATAATAAAACAAAGTTTACGTTTTTTCTATGCTATAATCTCATATTTAACAATAATATATATTTCTTTGAAATTTTTTTTATTTCATGTTACAAATTAAAATTGCATCTACCCTCTCATTCCTGAGTAATTCTACATTTCTTTTTACACTGAAATTGATTCTTCAGGAGACTTTCAGGTACAAAGCAAATAGATTCTTTATATAGAGTGAGCGCTGTTTGCATAAAGCCCAAACTTTGAAATAAAACAATATTAAAGTTAATTATCTGATTGATTTACCGAGCCACTGCATGCATAAAAATTATAGTTTCGTTGCTTGGAAGCATTGTTTGTATCACTGTAGGATATATATATATATATAGTGACTTATAAGTTTCCTGAAGTATTACTTTCTAAGAATCTCCTATTGAAAGATTAAGAAATAGATTGACTAAATTGAAAACGAAGAATGAAAAGAAACGGAGGATAAGAGATCATTTGCAACTTATAAATGCACAATTTTTACGGTTGCATCTACTTACAGAAAAATAAAAAATACACAAATCAACGCGTTGTTTAACAATAGAGATTACTCACGATTTGTTATATTAATCTTCGTCATTTATAGATATCTTACTACACTAAATTGACTATTTGTTTCGAAAAACCTATCTCTTTTGGTTATAAAATAAATCGTAACTTTTTTGTTCTGTACTAGTGATATTATATAGATCGTTAAAATTTCTGATACTTAGTTTATAGTTTTAAATATACATTTGTCTAGTCTTGTATTTCTTAAGGCAGGAATTTTCATATTTACAATTTCGTCGTTATATTGGCCTTTTCTTGCAATAGCGCAAGGCTTACTTTATCGTGATTCCATACGGACGATAGAATTTTATCCGCATTGCATATTCACGGATATTTATTATTCTTGGATTATCTATTCTCATTAACGATATATACGTAGTAACAGTATAAATCTACATGTGCCATGAGTAATACAATCTCGGGTTGTCATCTGAAATGAACTACATTTATGCATTACGTATCTACTTATTGACATACATGATTGCTGTAAAAATTTACGTTCTAGTGATATTTCCTAAAAGTAATCAACTTAGTAGATAATTAAATTTGTGACAAGTTATCTTGAATAATAAATAACAATTATGTATGTACACATATGACCACAATGTATCATACACGAAAAAAAAAAAATCAAAAGTAATAGAATCAATAACAGAATTAATGATTTTTACATTTTTTAGTATATATTAATGCCATAGAAAATTATCATTTTCTCCCTATAGACATCATAATGTATTTTCTTTTAAAACATAAAAGAGATGTATGTACATGTGTGGATATGTGAATCTTTGTGTATATATATATATATATGTATTTGGATATAATTCAGCCAGCGAGTATATATAATTTGTCACAAATTTATATATGACCAATTTGATATATTTATTTCTACAGTTTCTAATATAAAATAAACATTAAACATTGCGGTTATGATTTTCTGTTATACCACTTGAAAGTTTGATCTCGACATCTGGTTCTTGTAAAGCAAGTGGCGCTTGCCTTGTATCAGAAACTTCAAGTTCCATATTTTTTGAGCGATTTGTTGTCTCCAATGAATCTTGCGTTTGATTCGAAGACCCTGTTTCCTCGAGATTCGTTGACTTGGTAGGTTCTGTAGGCGACGAAATAGAGGATGGAGTTGCAACCTCGGAATTTAACAGAGTCGCATCACCATCTCCTACATTCTGATGTGGTTTTTCTTCGAATACTATGGTGTACACATGAATAGCAAGCATTGTCATTGTAGTCGAAATATTATATAAATATAATTATTCCGTGTTATATAATTATACTACTGTTATACTACTGTTATATAATTATACTACTTACATTTATCTAGACTGATAATTGACCCTACAAACTCATTGACAGTAAAAGATGGTGGTTGATCTTCCATTTGTCTTCTCCTTCTTACGAGCCACCAATCAATTAAAAATAATGCCAAAGCTAAAATTTTTATCCCAGCACATAGGCCGACATATCTAAAATAATTACGCAAATTATTTACATAAAAAAGAAAAGAAGTATTTTACACATATTATATATATTAAGAATATAACCTGTATCTAAATTGTTCAATGTCGTAAAGTAAACATCGACCGCCCTTTTCTCCACAGGTGCTCTTCCAGAGCAAACACGTGGAATCAATCAAATTACCAAATAATATTGGTGCTGGTATATAACCAAATAGTCGAAAAATTACAAACTGCATACCCAAAGCAAAAGATCTTTCTTCTTCGGAAACGGACCTATTTAACAGTTAATTTAGTGTGTATACAATTCATACATACATATATATATATATGTATATAAAAATGCATGTGCGGCGTAAAAATGCTTACCGTAATACTATCATGAGCAAAGGCATTTGAGTCACGGCGACAATAAATGTCATAAAGAACAAAAGAATTAGAAATGGAAATATAGTTTTACATGGTGAAGTACAAGGACCTGCGGTTGCTACTGGCACGACGGTCACTTCTGCAAATTCTGGTGCAGCCGGTGGCAACACAGTTAAATTGCCATGTATACCTAGGACGTAAAAAATTTCAGTACACTTTTCCTTGAGAGATAATATATCGCGTTAATATAACAAAACTTACATGCGCAATTTGTAAAATTTGATTTGGAACTGAAGGCAGTGCAACCTGCATGACACGGACTAAAATAAGTCAAACCATTATTTCCGCAAACCGGCTCGACATCCGTCATTCGACATTCACAACCAAAGTTGCATGCGGCAGTGAGATTTACTTGAAAGGGTTCAGGACCCTTCGTAGTACTGTTAAAGTATGGAATAGTGGTCCCAGCCATTTTTACGTTCTCGCAGCCGAGGAAGAATAATAAACCGTAACACACCAGACAAATTATATTTGAGACGAGAACAAATTGCACTGCACCCTTCGGCCTTAGTTCTAAACGTTTGAGCATACATCCGCCAAAAAAAATTCCAATACAGGCGCCTGGTATAGCGACAGAACCAGTAAAGATGCTGGCTTGACTTTTTCCTAAGCTGAATTGCGTTTCAAGATATTTTGGCAGAAATACCACAAAACCAGACACAATCACTAACTCCATACATGCTCCCAAACATGTTACAACATAGACTGGATTGCAAACGAGTCTCCACATACTTCGAGGAATATCTGTTGTAAGAAAAAGTAACATTAAAAATCCGTAATTTTATACTACACATTATCTATCACATCACTACAGATTTAACGATAAGAAGCTATTTTAAATATTGAGATAACAGAAAAATTTACCTTTAACATCCTTGCCATAACCGCTATCATCGATAGTCTCTTTCTTAGGTTCTTTCGAATGCTCCTTTTCTTTCTGTGTAATTGATTTATTCTTTTCTATAATTCGTATTTTTTCCTTTTCACGCTGTAGAGTTTTAGGAAAACTGAAGAAGGGTATCGCTACTAGAATGAGGAGCAACCCACAAAGTAGAAATCCACCCCACCACATACCGACCCATCTATGATCTCCAGGATCTGTTTCAATTTAATGAAGGAATTTGTAAATTTATACAAATTCAACAAAAATTGTAAAAAAGACAATAATATAATAAAAATATTGAAGATTTTTTTCTTACCGATACTTATAATCGTTGCAGAGAACGAATCCATGTGAAAGGATAAAAGATATGCTCCAAGAAGAAAACCTAAAACTGGTCCAAAAGCCGCCATACTATACATACAACCTGAAGAAATGAAATAAAAATCTTGAATGACTATTTGTCCATATGTGTTTTATGACATCTAACATAATAAATAAAATACTTGCCAATATATAAAGATGCACTTTCTGGTCTCACGTGATCGTCTATGTAAGTAGTACCAAGAGTAAATAAAGGAGAGCCACCACATCCTAGTAGTAACTGAGCAAGTACAAATAACATGACAGGTCCGGCTGTCGATGGAGATCCCTGTATACAATTGTCACCCCTTAAATTGTTGTGCGGTGCTAAGGGAGGTGAAGATAACCCTGATGAAAGCCGACCTGTAGACAAATTTTCAAATTGGCAAATTTTAAACTTTCCTCTTTTTTAATTGCTTCTTTTATATACTAAAATTTATTATCAATTGGAACTAAATTTCGCAAAAACAGCTGAAATGATAGGTACTTACCCAAACCCATATCTTGTTCGCGTAAGGATACTCCGCGACAAATATTATCTGAACTGGAATGATTCGCAGTCGTCGTCAAGTTGGGTTCTGCTGTGAAATGTGGCACCATAAAGATCATTGATCCCAGTCCCATTATCACTGCACCTAAATCATAAGATATATGATCCAATAAAATAAATACTTACAGTTAGTCATCGACCGTGTTCAGCATAAAAATTGTATACGAATCATAAACGACAGATTATATATATAGTCTTTAAATAAAACAAAGATTATACCTATCGCTATCCACACAGGTATGTGTCTACGACTGCCGAGATAACTGACAAAAATGACAGTGATAACATTGCCAATCTCGTAAGAGCTTGCAATGAGGCCCGAAAGACTGGACGGGATCTCAAACCTCTTCTCTATGGTTGTTATCACAGAATTGATGTAACCTGAGCTAAGGGCTTGTTGCAACGTAACAAGGAACGACAGGAGAAATACGAACACCTGAAATAATCACGTGCATTTCTTAGTATAGTTTCTACGTGAGTAGGTTTAATTTAATTTTATATACGTTTCAATATCTCTTAAAGCTTTAGAATTTAAAGAATTCTCACGTATAGAGACAGAAGGTTGGATGGTATCGAGCAGTGGCTGGTATCAGACAAGGATTGTTTAAAATTTTAAATGCGTGTAGCAGCATTTGCAAAGCCACTGACAAGTCCACCTGCACATGAAAGCCAGGGATCTCTCCATGTTGAGAATAAAGGTAGCATTTTTGAGATATTGTATTTCTTATTTAGCTGTTGTTTATGGAGTTAATTTCATCAACCAGTCATTAAATGTAAGTCAATTTTTGTTTTTAGTTCACCACTATAAATAATATCTGTTATTCTTTAAATTGTGGGTTTCAAAATTGTGGGGTAAACAAAAAAATCTTTTTTTGTTTTAATGTTGCCTGTTTTATATGTTGTTTTTTCGTTTTGTTAAGTTGTTTTGTTTAATTCATTCGGATGGTATCATATAATGAACTGGCGGATAGTACTAAAAATCCGATAGCCTAAGTAGTCAACGAGACTGGATTCTATGTTTTGTTCTAAGTAAATGGAAAAGATACGAGGCAAATGCGAAGAGAAGAACATAAAATTAACTGTTAAAAAAATAAGAAACAAGGAAATAATAATAACAAAGACAAATGAGCGATTTTCTGTTTCGAAGAATACATTAGGATTAAAAACTATTAAAGCAAAGAAGGAGATACAGCATTAAAACCCACAGATAATAGTGAAACCTACCAAAAAAAAACATGTTTATCTAATACTCTTTTCGGGACAGAGAATATCACTCATTTCTCTTAATGTCATTTCCTTATTTCTTACTTTCTTAACAATTAATATCATGTTCTCTTCACATATCTCATATCTTCCCCATATTTAGAACAAAATACAGCTAAATCTCATATCTTGGATACCACTCGCCACTTCATTGTCTAATACTATTCGAAAGATTTTAAATACAATTTAAAGAATGACAAATGCTGTTTATATTGATGGAACTAAAAACAAAAATCGATTTACATTTAATAATGTGACCGATTGGTGAAGTTCACTTCGTACCGGCATAAACAAAATACACAAAAATTCAACATTACCTTTATTCTCAATGTATAATATGGAGAGGTTCCGACTTTCATGTGGACTTGCCAGTACTTACAAATACTACCATATGCATATAAAATTTTAAACAATCCTTGTCCGATACCAGCTGCTATCCGATACCATTTGACCTTTCCTCTGAATGAAATGTAAGTATCACTTCGAGATTTCACTAATAATATAATTACTCTTAAGCGCGTGATATATGTACATATTTTATTATATATGTACATACAGGGATTATATATGTACATCCCAAAATTGACGATAAATGTTTTAAAGACAAATTCTTTGCAATATTTTAAGAAGAAAAGTTTAATACAAAAATGCCGAGGCTATAATAATTTTCAAATGAGTTTCAAAGAGTTTAAAAATTACGAAAGACAGAGTTAGAGTTTCGCGTGTTCAGGGATGGCAAGATAATCAGTGTGGAGGTGTTTCCTTGAACATTTGATAATCACAAAATTCATCACTTTCATACTGATCATATTGCCATACCCGAGCGCGCAAAATTCTAGCTCTGTCATTCGTAATTCTTAAATTTTTCCTATTTGAAAACTATCATAGCCTCAGTTTTTTCATATTAGACTTTTCATTTTAAAATATTACTAAAAGAATTCGTCTTTAAAATATTTATCGCCAGTTTTGGGATACCCTGTATGTATATAGCATCATATCCGAGTGAGCAGTTGTACAAGATTTTATAACATACCTTTATTCCGGCAAATCTTTGAATGAAGGCCGGCCTACAACTCAGAATCCCACAGTCCTTGGAATCCGGATTAAGCGGCGGAGTTTGTGCCCTCTCCTTCTCCGCCCTGAATACTCAAGGAGATCAAACAATGAACGCGACTGAACGTCTCAAAGTAAAAACAAAACAATGAATAGTTCCGAGAGATAAAGATTAAGTTCGGAAAGAAAAGCCGAATCACGCGCAACGAATGAAAGAGGAAGAATGCATACAATGCGATCCATGCAAACGATGTTATATCGCATTGACCGCACTGAAAAAAGAGTATAGCTAGTAAAAGAGTATTTCTTTATATTTAATATACGTATAATCCTGCCAATTTTTTTGAAATACAAATATATTGCGTGTAAAGTGAAAACAGACAATAATAATTACAACAAATATACATATACATATAACAGTGAACAACAATATCAACTTTACCTGTCCACCATATTTCCTGCTGTGACATTTGATGATAAAATCTCTGAAAAATAATAGGAACAAGAAAAACAAAGCATGAATATAAACAAAGCATTGTGCTGTATAATGTGGAGTATACAAATATGGATTGCGATGCTAACTGATAGGGTAAATTATTTGCGCCAAAATAATTAAACATCATCTCTCCTAAATTATACAGAGTGACGAAAGTACTCTGTCGGCGCTTGTAATATTTTTCAGGTGTTAAAAGATAAATATGCCAAGGGTACGTCATCATTCAATGGCTATACAACGCGTGTAAATTTTCGTCATACTTGTTAAACAAATTTTCAGACACTTTCTCCGACGAAATTCACTGCAAAGCGAATGGAGTAACGAAAAGAAACGCTGAGATAAATTAGGAAGAAAGATGAGGCGAGGTTTAAATCTATTTGACGCAAAATGTGTCATGGTCATCACGTGCTCTCACTTTCTACTTCTACTAGTTGTCTTTTGCGTTCTCATAGTCGCAATTTTGTCACCTTTGCGGTCATGCCACTTCAACGAGACTTTATTGAGGCAAATGCAAAAATACATTTTGCACGAGCGAATATTGGCATCAAAGCGCAGTGTCAAAAATAATCGACTCGAAACGATAGACTCGTGAGACAGAACACGATATACCTTTTCCTTCACGAGTAAAGAAACTATTTGTGAAACTAATTACAATGAAAACGACATAACATTGAGTGAGTTATTTATCAAAAGAAAGAAAAAAAATAGAAGCCTCGTTCTATCTGTAAAGAAAAGAATAATCATAAAAAGTGTGAAGGATGAACGAGGGTTCAAATGGCCGTCTGTAGACGGAATCACAACAATATTTTTTTAAAAATCTAACAAAGCCACATTCCACTTACCTATGATCCACAAGGCCGGAACTCGGATTTCTACTATGACACCTTATGACGGTGTCATGGGTCAGTCTACCGGAGGTCGCCTGCAGTGGATCCGCATTATCGTCGGTGCCAGTGCCGGCGCTTTCCGCGTAAAGGCCTGTCATCGCGTACATACTTTCGTTACGCCGGTGTCCGGGGTGATAATTGCTGCCGGATTCGGACCTCTTGTGACCGAAACCGCCGCTGCTCTCGTTCCTTTTGTGGCCACTCTCGGATCGTTTGTGGCCGAAGGCACTAGATATACTCTCGGCACGTTTGTGACCGCTCTCAGGTCGCTTGTAACCAACAAAACCACCCCCTGATTCGGTACGTCTGTGTGCAAACATGCTCGAGCTGGAGCCATTTCTCTTGTGCCCACTGGTGGACGCCATCTCTCTGTCATTTATCTCTTCCTCTTCTTTCGTTCCTCTTACGTTGCTTCGAATATTACGAGTTTACTGATGACATTGTTAGCTGTAATAGAAATTAACAATTTATCATATGCTCTATTGTTGACGTAGGTATTCTATAAAACTTTTAGAGTGAATTGTCATTCCGAAGAAATCTTACTCTTAAAGATTAAAAATTGAGTCACTCTTTTTTAGGACTGTTTCAATTTTCACTCTTTAGAATGAGATTCCAGTTCAAAACATTTAGAGAGTATCATATGTGCTTCTTCGTGTAGTCATGTGGTATGCAGGTCGTACCGGTCGTACGTGAGATAACGATAGCACGCTGTCTCGATTGCTTCAAGAGCTACTCTTTTTTTCTATTCACAATCAGACTGTCGATACGTTCCTGGAAAAAAGCTGGGAACGAGATATACGGTAAAAAGATGATTCGAGCAAGCTTTATAAAGACGTATGATCGAATTGATATCTTGTGTGAGATTTCAGTAGAGAGTTCAATGAACCCACTTTCGCAAAGGTCAGGGTCGTTCAGCAACGGTGCGCGAACGGTGCTACCAAAAAAACTCGATATCATCTTTATAGATGAGAGAATAACTGTATTTATTGTGATTACATACGATATATTTATGCATCGGACTATTAGACCAACGAAAAGCGATTGAACGAATCATTCGGGCTGTTATTCGGTTTCCGCATGTAGGTGTAAATGAGCGATAAAGATGGAATGTCCAATGTAGCTTGGACAGAAATCGGCATAAGTTTCTACATTTTCAGATATCATCCGGACTTTGTACTGTTGAACAATCTGTGTCGGTGCAGAATGAATCTTGACGAGAAAAGAAGAAGCAGGATCAATCTTTCACTTTTCTATTAAATAATCCATCATTCTCTCCATACTCTTCAAAGCTTTACGATTATGTAAACTTGATGCGTTGCCGAGAAATTTAAGACACCTTTGCTACAAATGACAAAGTCAATCTGCATATGGTAAAAAAAATTGAGTATGATATATGCCTGCGAAATGTTGAGACTTTATATATTTTCTGTAATTTTTTTTTGCCAATATTATTCTGTGTTTATAATCTTTATTATATATTATTCTATTTTCCGTTGTCGCTCGTAAGAAAATAGATAGAATAAATTTCTCCATCAACTCTTGTATTTGAATGTGAAAATATCCTCCAAAAAAATATTGTGACATAAATGGAAATTGCGTTATACGATCATACATCAAGTAATATTCGATGATTAAATGTACGTCAGTATCGATTGTTCAACGATGTACCTAATCACATTCCTACCGCTCGTCGCTTAAGTAAACTTAAGCGTGCGAACGCCCGCTACTCTCTCATGTTTTTTTTAGATTATCGATTGCGCGCGTCCTTGATTTCTTCTGATAAAAAATTGAAGGGGGTATGGCTGAATAGTATAGATCGACAACGAATTCAAAGTCAGGGATATCGACGCCGCGATAATAAGATGATCTGTCTACCCCGTTATCATAGGTCGTGAAATCGAATTATTTCTGACCTGTTATAAGCTTAACGATTGATCAACAAAAGGAAACGGGACTTTCATCCAGCATCTCTGTGTAACGCATGTCAAATGTATAACTTTTCGCCGATCGTCCATTTGTCTAACCGAGTTGTAATTCAGAAGTACATCGAGAAATTCTGGTTAATCGAACCCAGATAGAAAATTAAACGAGAAAAAAGATAGACGCGCCTAGGACCGATATTTACAGTTGGTTCTTGATGTTTTAAGATCATCTTAAGTAATATCTTCAAATGCTAATATGGCTCTGTGATTGGCTTATGACATATTACGACTGTACTAAGATGGTCTTAAGTATAAAAATCGGCACACTATGAATACCAAACTTTGACATATTTAAGTTTTTATCAGAAATATACACGAATATCTTATTCTCATTATTTTTCTTCTCGAAAAAATTAAAGAATTAAAAATCTGTTTCTATAAAAACTACTCTCTAACATTTTTAAAGTGAACTCTGAAGAGTGAAATCTTAAAGATTGAAAACTGAGCCATTGTTTTTCAAAATTGACTCGATTTTCACTCCTTAGAGTGAGATTTTACCACAAAGAATTTAGAGTATAAATGAACAACCCACAAATACGCAATTATACGCAACATATTTTCGCAGTACTATCTCCTCTTCTTTCTTTATCAATTTTTCTCAAGTATTCTATATACATATATATGTATACACATATATATATATATATCATCATGTGATTACCACTTTTTATTTCGTAAACTAACAAAAATTCTAATAAATATAATATCAAATTAAGTGGTTCTAACTAAACTCTATTGTAAGCACAGCGATCACTTAGAAAAATTATCCATGTAGATGTTAGAGAATGGAGGGATAGAATAAATTTTGTATTACGATAAGGTAAATATTTCGATATAATAAAAGTTATAACGCCAGTTCTCTAACAAAACTTAATTTTTCTGATCACTGTGCCTATAATTGAATTTAGTTAGAACCGTTTAATTTGATATTATATCTATTATGTCTGTCTGTTAGTTTATGAGATAAAAAAGGATGGCCACTTTATACGACATCCTGTGTATGTCATATATGTGTATGTGCATATATATATATATTGATAAATGTATGTACACACACATACTATTGAAAAATAACACATTTGCGATGGACTTACAATAGAATTTATGTAATTTATCATTTTCGTAGGAATATAATTATGATGTAGGTACACGGAGAGAATTTTTTCTTAGAGTTTGAGTCCCTGAAAATATGATAGTCGTGGGACAACATTGTATTTCGAAGAATTTTAATGTAAATCTCTCTCATTCATTAATAAAACTACAATAAAGTATAAAATAAGTTTGACTAATTTTACTGAAGTGCATGATAAAAATCTTTAAAATATTGTATTGTACCACAACTACCATATTTTCAGGGTAAATTTTAAAAGAAAATTCTCTCCGTATAGTGAGAAATAATATTATTCAAATAACATACAAAAATTATTTCAAGAAAAAATTCATTTAGATAATTGTGTAATCAAATAAATTATTATTCTCCAACAAAATTTTGTTCATCTCTGCATTGATGACATCCATGTGACGATATGGTCCGACATATGCCAGATACAAATAGCATGTGTCATTCGTTACGTGCTAAATCAAGGCGTTTCGCCTCGAAAAAAATTCCGATAGCGTCATTATCGATCGCAAATGATCATGTGGAATTATTTTAATGCTTACGATTAATATATTTCATGAGTCATCAATATTTATATCTTTCCTTACGTTCACTCCTTCGAGGACACTTGAGATTCTAGGAATTCGATTGAATTCGAATCTCAACACGATAGTAATCATCATCTGTAATTACCTGACGTATCACTATGGTTAGCGAATGAGTCATTACGGTTGCAAACTCCACAAACTCGCAAGTCAAATTACGGAGCACCAGAATCTCTAGATATCAAAGAGCAATGAACTGATGCAAGTACCGTTAGACCCAATTTTCGATTTTTTATTTCAAACCGTTTGTTTCGTCATTTGGTCTTAGAATCCGCCAGAATACGAACATCACGACATTGTGAACTATCGATAATTTTTTAGTTCAGTTTTCTAATGATTTACGCTTTAGTAGATTTTCGTACCATGAACACGATGAAATTAAACTGAAATTTTATAAAAAATTTCGTTAAAAATGTATCGGATAAATTCTGGAGATTAGATATCGTTCCCAATTGTTCAATATCGAGATTACGAATACAAGATTCGTGAGGGAAAATTTTCGTTCGCGATGAATCTTTATTAAACTAATCGAGAAAATGGTTAATAATTGATTACAATAAATCCTTAGATTAGCGGCTATCCTATGTGGCGTCGGCTCATTTCCGTCCGGATGTACGAGTGCGGAAATGAATGTTGCGGTGAGCTTCGCTTCATTCGCGAATCGATCGAACAGCAAGCTACCAGATATAACCAAGTCGACCCCATCCTCGGTGGTGATACGGCCTAAACCGTCGAGGAATTCATCCATCCTCGCGCGTAGATCGAACAGTCCCTCGCGTGATAGAAGGTCTTGGAGTTTCTCGCGCGAGCTCGGCCACTAGGTCACCCTTTCACCCTTGCGCTTACCTGAGTTATCCGCGGACTGCGTGATACTGCAACGTGATATTTCAATTTCCCACTGTTTCTTTTTATCCATTTTTACGTGATGGAACGAAACAAATAGATTACTGCTCGCTTTAACGAGCTTTCTACAATAAATCATTACCTAAGCTTTAAGCCATGAGAAATTAACCAATCATAGTCAATTATTCTTCTCACATTCAATGTGATTGATCAGTTTCTTATGGCTTAAGACTTAAGCTTAGATAATGATTTATTGTAGAAAGTCTATTCAGGATATTCGTCAAGTATTTGGAAATGTAGTGAAATATTGCATCGTGTACTTATACCAAGCGAGCAACTATCGCGAATTTACGTTGATTATAGAAGAATTATAGAAGATATATATCTCGAATTACCGAATCCTACTCCAATAATACGATACTGTATTGTAGATCGCGGCACGTAAAGTTTCGATTTACCGTTGCACAATGCCATACACCGCTTATAAGAATCGCACCGCCCACCTTCGTGACAGTAGATTATTTGTCGAATGCAAAAGCGAGAATCTAGGCAGTTCAGACATAGCTGAATCTAAGCGTAGCGCGCCCTACATTTCAGGACTAATGAATTTCTTCCTTATACTCTTTATGTTCTTATCCATATTTTATGCTTAAAGTTTAATAATTGTATCTATGACTTAAACCTATGGACGACAGAGTCCAGTACTTAAAAGAGTATATAACGGGTATTATAAAAGGTACATAAATCACACGGATTATTTATTTATTCGGATTATTTTGGACTTTCACGATGTATGTAAAGAAAACGTCGACAAACATCTACGAAATATTTTATATAATCAATGATACAAACGAAAGCTATCATACTGTTGCGCTCTGTTGAAGTTTAGGAGCTCCTCCCTCCCTCTCTCTCTCTCTCTCTCTCTCTCTCTCTCTCTCTCTCTCTCTTGCTCTCTGCAGAGAGGCATCAGATACAATATAAATATGTACTGCAATGCAGAAAAATATAATGCGACACTATGAGTTATATAAGTCAATGCTGTAACGATGACTAATGCGTGTTCTTGCACGCTTTGTTTAACACGGATTTCATTTCATTTTAATTAAAAATTTTTACTATATCAATTCTTATCCTAATCAGTAAAATTATGAACAATTCGAAATTCGATAAAAACAAATTTAATTATTCCAAATTTATCTTGTCATCAATTTTCTTATATTCCACATAATAGTTAAACACCGACTTTTCAACATTATCTTGGCAACATCCCCTCCCTTCGTTCATTTTATTTAGACATTTCTTTAGACGTTTTCTTTAGATTTGCGACATTCTAATCGAAATGTTTAGTGTTTTATTGATTCTTGATATAATCTAGTTAATTTAGATTGCGCTAAAAGCTCCATGTTTCTTCTGAAGTAACGTAATGAAATTCCAATATCCTTGATGTTAATCTGTATAATGCTGTTATGATACTTATACACTATTAGATACCAAAGGAGCAATGATAACTCAATCCCTTGAGTTAAATAACATTTTGTTATTTTTAACTTCTACCTTCTCTAAAACTTTTAGACTCACTCTGTAGAGTGAAATCTCACTCTTAAAGACTGAAAATTGAGCCACTCTTCTTCAAGCTCAATTTTCACTCTTTAAAGTGAGATTTCACTCTAAAAAATTTCGAGAGTATGTGTGCCAAAATCAGTCCATTTCTGTGATTAGTTTCAAAGTAAGCATCATCACTAACGTATACATTTAGTCAATAATTTCTTTAATTAAAATTAAATTTGGGTTAAATTTAATACATTTTTTTTAGTTAAATTGTTTAACTCCATTGTTTAATCAAATTAACGATATATTGGATAGAAGCAGAGACGATACAAAATAATTAAAGATAAGTCAAATTGAGTATATAATTTGACATTATGAATTTAATAGTGTGTACTTCTGATCATACTGGTTGATTGTACCAGACTACGTGCACCGATAAGCACAACTTATTTAGTGCTTATCAGTGATATAAATACACTTATATAATTTATTCCATTTATGAAAATTAATCTTGAGGTAAGAACAGAATTGTGACAACCAATAAAAGTAAAAGTTATTTCGAATTGTTATTAATTTTTCTAATGTCAGAATCTTTACAGCTATATATATATTTATTATTTATATATATTTGCAAAAACTCTAGAAAGACACTAGAAAAGTTAATAACAAAATTAATGACTTTTACTTTTATTGGTTGCCGCGCAATTCTGTTTCTATCTCAAGATTAATTTATAAATATATATACACACATATATATATATATATACACTTTGTAGTCAAATAAAGGCAAATAAAGCCCACGCGCTACGCGTGGGTTCTCGTATAATACATTTATAGAAACTCTCACGCTGAGAGGAGAGCATGAATCTATAACGTTTCACATTTGTCTTATATTTTTCGCGTCACAAAGTGTATATGATTATAGAATATGAGAAAAAATGTAGTTGAAAGTGTTCGACAATCGACTGACCTTAGCTTTGTTTCGTATTAAAATAAGGAAGGTCGTTTATCTAAGTGCTAATTTGCACTTTTGTATGAGCGCGTAATACGTCAGGACTTCATCCTAGCAATACCAAAATTATAAGATACATTAAGAAGAATATCTGATTAACAATGGACCGAAAGATTCTGATTACATCCATCAGAATTTCGATTATTTCAACTAGAATTCTAATATGTTTAACCAGAAAATTCTGATTCGTCCATTTTCAACCGGAATTCCAATTAATTCAATCAAGATATTTTTCAAAATGCCAATTTAATCATTGACATAAATATTAAGACATGATACACACACATACACACACACCAATTTGGCCGATGAAAAAATCTATCACCTGGCTATAAAATCCGATGGGATAATTTTTATCCCTCCAATTCATGCGAATTTTATTTAATGTAATCGAGAGATGTAATAGCTTTTAACGATAGATACACATAAAAACGCGTGATATCGTCTATCATTCGTTTCACATCAACTTTACTATCGTTATCGTTTTTTTTTCTATTACAGATTTTATCGCGTAACATAATTCGAAACCTCTTACTGCTTAAAATTTATTTAAACTGAACGATTTTTATTACAATATCGTTTCGACAATAATATTGTTATTTCAAAATAATGCTTTTCTTTGTACAGCTGACGAGAGGAACATATAACATAACACAAGTACGCCAAATTTTTCAATGGTCGCATTAAGAAACGCAACACGGTTCACGCTCGTCTGCGAGAAATGCATTACGTAAGTGTCACGATAACGAAACGACTACATGAAATCAAGAAACGGCGATACGTGACTTTCAATTTTAATTCGAAACTTTCGAAGACACATTTCAAAACCAAGAGGAATCGCTCAATCAAGAGAAAACGATAGAAAATTTTCGTTTCCTGGAAACTAATAATTCATATGACACCAACTCTCAATAATTGTCAAACACAGTAATACATTTTACAAAAAAAAAAAGAAAAAATATATTCCTAGGTACTTAATTCGTAAATAATTCGTAAATAATTCGTAAAAATTTGAATATCTTAAAATTATTTGAGGTGTCTTCCTCTGTATAAATAAATATACGTGAGAATTATATTTGTAGCAAAGAGATCATTTGATTCCTACGTGCACGTCTGTCTAATTGGTGGCTGCGTGGGCCAACTATCTATGTTAATTGACATAATAATTAAAGCTAGGACGATCCGAGGACGAGCGAGAATTACGTTCTGCATACAAAATCAGCATATATATAGCGCGATTGATATTTGTTATTTGTTCGCAGAAATATTATTTTTAGCGTGTGTTTGTGCTAAACTTTTTACGATTATTATTGAATTTTCGTTGGTTAAGCGAAAATATTGATATTGTCTTATATTCTATAAAAAAGAAATGAAACTTTAAATTTAACACGAAATAATGTGTCGAGATTTATTTCATAAAATTGTTGTGCGCAATGTCATTAACAAATGGATCGCAAGAAAAGGATGGAATCAAAACAATCTATAACATGTTATAAATTTATGTAAAATATTCTTCACTCTGGCATAATGTTATTTTTTTTAATTTACAAAACAACAAATTCTTAATCGTACCTACGTAAAAAGGTATATGTAATTAAATCTTTTTTTAATCACAGAAATAACTATGAATATATTATAAATAAAAATTAAACTTGATTTGATATTTTAACGATATTTCTCTTTTAATTTAGAAAATTCAATTAAAACAGATTTTTGTACTCTTTCTGTATTAAAATAATTACTATATGCGAAGATGAACGAATTGTTGAAATATAATGTGTTAAACGTACATCTATGTCTAAAAAATATTTAAAAAATAAAAAAATTATTTAAATTATTTAAAAAATTCTCTCTCTCTCTCTCTCTCAACTCTAACAGAGATAATGTTCGTATTCTTTCTGAACTAAGATAATTACTTCCCGTACGCGAAGATGAACGAGTTGTTGAATTATAACATGTTATAAGTTTATGTAATATATTCTTTACTTGCACGATATTATTTTCTTTTAATTAGAAAACAGCATAAACTCTTAAATAGAAGGATAATTAAATATTTTCTTGGTCACAGCGATAACTGTGAGTATATTTCAGATAAAAGTCAAACTTAGTTTTCGACTATATCTCTTATTTTAAAAATTCCACTAATATAGATAATTCTAATATTCTTTCTGCCTCGCTTTCTGCATTAAGATAATTATTACACTTTCATACACGAAGCTGAACGAGTTGTTGAATTACAATATGTTATAAATTTACGTAAGAAATTCTTTACTCGCGTGATATTATTTTCTTTTAATTAGAAAACAGTATAAATTCCTAAACGCGTACATAAAAAAGTAATTAAATTCTTTTTATAACGATAACTATGAGTATATTACAAATAAAGTTAATTTGATTTTTCGACGATACCTCTTTTTTAATATAGAAAATTCAACTGACACGGATCATTTTTGTATTCTTTCCGTATTAAAATAATTATTATGCTTCTGTACTTGAAGATGAACGAGTTGTTTTGATACAGTGTAAAAGAAGCCACCGGGAGCGGAGCGCTTTATCTATAAAAAAAAAAACGCAATTCTTTTACCCCGAGATCAAACTGGAGGTAAAGCCAGAGGAAAAGTCCAGGCATATATCATCGCAGGCTTCGCGAACGCTCAAGATAAGCTCGCGGAACAGCGGTGTTCCATGGAGCGCAGCTCGAAAAACACACAATTAAAAGAAAGACGATGATTCACGCTACGTAGAGATTCGATGGTGTAAATCCATCCAGCATGAATCGCGTCGCATCTCGCTACTCCGATCTCGAGGTTTTCGATGCGGCGCGTCGCATCGAGTCGCGTCGCGCCGCGTCGCGTTGCAAGATAGGCCTCGGAGTAGACTCGAAAAACGGGATCTCACGTCATACGACCTGAATATCACGAATAGATCCGACCGAACGAAAGGTTAGAAAGAGATCTCTTCGAGGAATAGCAAAGTATATTTACGTGGGGAGAGACTCACGGTAAGGACGCGTCGAGACGGTGGCAGGACACTCCTTTGTATCCAGGGCCGAGCCAAGCGAGAAATCCTCGTGGTTTCAAGACACCGCGTTGTTCTCCAGAGGCTACATTGGGCGACGCACACGCATCAGTCGCATCATTCACTGCAGGAACAGTCGCGATCGACGGATCGACCTTCCGTACAACTTGCCGCAGGTTCGCGCGAGCTCTGGCGCTCGGCTCCGACAAGTCGGTATAAATTCGTGGAAATCACATTGATAGCCGTTCGAACGTCAGCTCACTTTGAGAATCGTAGACCAGCTGTGTTTTTGCCTGACCATCGAGGAACTCGAGTTCTCGAGCATGCGCTCTCTCGCGCTGTCTCCGCGACGCCGCCACTGCCGCCTGGTGCTGCCCCTCTCATCCATTAATCCTACTGTCACTTGGTGCCGTCGCTTGCCACTCGGTGTCGCCACAGTCGCTTGCCACTCGGCGCCGTCAGCCGCAGTCAGCTGTGATTGGTCAGTTCGAGTTAGTCGTGGTGCGATCGGTGCGATCTTTTAATTGTCTTCAGTTAGATCGCGCGGAAAAGAAAAACAATTCAGTCGGGGCTCAACGATTCTTTAATATCATTGGTTCTTGCCTTTAATTCTTTGTTGAATCTAAATGTAGAAACCAATCGTAATAAAGAATCACTGTTAGCTCATTGAACTGTTTTAATTGTTCAACGCAGCTGGAAGCGTTGTGAAATGTTGCTGCTCCAACACGCTGTTCAAACTAAATGCGCGATTGTTGGAAAGAGAGAGAGAGGGGAGAGAAAGAGAGAAAGAGACGTTTGGCATCTTGTTGCGTTATGTAATTTACATTTACTAACGTAAGAAAAAGATAAAAAAATGAAAAAAAGATTTTTTTTTCATTTTAAACGAATCAAGTGCAACTTAATTACAACTAGATTATAATTAGATTATAAGAAATATTAAAGCTTTAAAAAAATATAAAATTGCGTGGAATGATTTCACGTTTTATCTTCAATCAATCTTATCTTTTCCGATTCAACATTCATTTCATTGATAAATAAAATATATAATTAAAAAAAAAAATATCGGGCCCCTCCGGGATTTGAACCCGGGACCTCCTGCACCCAAAGCAGGAATCATACCCCTAGACCAAGAGGCCTGACTATCGTTCAACATCAAGCAAGATAGATCTGTACATATTATTGTAAAAACTAACATGATCTAAATTAGGCTTGTCGAATTTGAATTTCAAAGCTAAAACGCAAAGCCATTGATGCAAAAAATTCAATGTAGATAAAATTTCGGAAACTATAAGGTTTTTGTGTCAATATATTATACATATATTATACATATCAACACTTTACAATTTCCGAAATACCCACATTGAATTTTTTGCATCGATGGCTTTACGTTTTAGCTCCGGAACTCAAATTGGGCAGGCCTTCGATCTAAATCGTATTTAAGAAAATATTCAAGTATCGATAAACACAAAAAAGATTTCATTCCAGATGAATTTAATACGGTAGAATATATGCACGCAATGACACATTGTTATTAATGCGAGTTTGAGTCTAGATATATCATTTGTTGGTAATCGTACAATGATATACCTAACAATGTTTCTAAAACTTATTTTACGATAAAAATTACAAAATGTCAATTGCCTTTTGTACTAATCAGATCGTGCTGAGACTAGAATTTGTTGAAAAAGCCACTTGCTTCACAAGAAATTTAAAAAAGCGCAAAAATAGAAATAAACATATATATATATATTTTTTTAATTTATTCACTCACTATGGCTATAATTGTTCACCGTTAAGCATTCGTTGAGTATTAATCCTTAGTACACATCATTCATGTTCTGTACATTTCTTTTCTTTGAATAATTAGGAGCAATTAGTTATAACATTTATATATAATTTTTAAAAAATATACACAATCTTATAAATAATTTCTAAAGATGTTAGAGTTATGTAAAATAAAAATCACTTTTTGTTAAGGTTATGAAAATTGACTCGTAACATGAATGACTTCATTGTGTATAGTAAATTTAAGGACCGGAAAATTATTGTGTTTATTTGTAAACGTTAAATAAAAATGAAATTATAATAAAATATATATATATGATAAGTTCCTTATATATATGTACATGATAAATTATCCCTTATTCCTGCATTAGAATTCTCTCTCTCTCTCTCTCTCTCTCGCTTTCGTCAAATATCAAACATATATTATCTATCTCATTTTAAATAAAAATGTAATTTCACTATAGAAAACAGATCTATTATGTGTAATATTTATAAGAGAGAAAATTGAACGTTTCTCAGTAAAGCAGATTGACTCGATTGACTTCAAATATACAATTCAAATGGTAATCGTATGCAAATTTAAATTGGTAATAAATTCTGTAATTTAATGGTCGTTTCCTTCATCCGGCGATATTTAACGATCAAGGGACAATTTGATGAGGGATAATTTATTGCTATCGAAAATGAAAAGGAGGGATAAAAGATACAAAAACGAATGTTACGAACGATATCTATATGCATATAATACGTAGAACAAGCATTTATCAGATTTAAAGTCTGAAAAAAGCATGAATGCTGAAATATATTCGTATTCATCTTTTCAGGATGGTTAGTGAGATATTTTTTTCCGACGATGTAAAAAGAATTTTTTGCGATAATTAATCGTTGTTTCTCATTATGGAGCGTTTCCTTACTAACGACCCTCTTCTCTTCTTTTCTGTCGACTATATCATTAGAAACGGCATAAATCTTTCTCCCGGCGCTCCGGTTCTTTCAGAGAACTTAGGTCACATTTGCCTCGCGCTTTTCATTCACCCGCAACAAGTGTTCCCTAATCGATATTATATATGCCCTGTAAAACCCTTCCAATAACGCAACGCGACAAGTTCCACGAGTCCTTCGTTTTTTCTCGTCGATGATCGTATCTGCTTTCACACGCTATATACATCTTTTTTCTTAGGAAATCCATCGTTTAGGTAGAATATATATATATATATATATATACATAAATGAGATAAAACAAAACCACTCGTGACTTTGTCGTCGACCATGTTTGCCGCGTCACCGGTTGTTCGTTTCTTCTCTTTCTCCCCTGATTTTTGCCTTTGCCGATAAAATTAAAATTCCATCGTTAACAGAGGATGTAACGTGATAACTTCGTTCATCAGCATCGTCGTTTATTTGTCGATTCGACGAGTAAAATTTATTTTTTCACAGAACGTTCCTTCTTATCATTTTCGACGACGATGTTCGCACTTTCTCTCTCTCTTTCTCTATTTCCATCTCTACTCATTACTCCTCACATCCCTCTTTCTCTCGCTTTATCATTCTACGTCTTCGTTGGCCCACTACCCGGCGGCGTTGCAATCGATTTCAAAATCCGACGACGCACGCCCTGCGCGTCGTCGCCGCCGCCTGTTGTACCTCCTCCTCATCGTCCTGTCTGCCCTCGCTTTTCAGTCAGTGCCATCACTGCGGCGGAACCGGCAGCTGTTCACGGGGACATGGTCCAGGAGCTTGCAGCCAGGACCGCCAAGTGGTGATCGTTAGCTCTTACGCGAAGCGGAAACAGTGCCGACGGTGTTTCTCGTGGTGACGCGCACGATGTGCCGCAGGGTGTGAAAAAGGCTACGTTGTGTCACGCCCAGGTGAAGACGTATCTGCGTTCATACCTTCCACCTTGCATGCTTCTCTTTTTCCTCTTTCGCTTTTTTCCTCCCCTTCTCTCTCTCTCTCCCCCCTCCCTTCTCTCTTTTCAGTCCATCCCTCTCTCTCTCGCTCTTCCTCTTTTATCTCTCTCCTTTTTCTCTTAATTTCATATTTTAATTTTGTTTGCAGAAAACTCATATTCTTGTGTACAAACAGCTCCTTTGTAATTAGTTGTGAAAAATGAATTTTAATTCCATGTGCCTTTCTAAACAGAACTTTTTATACTAATTTTCTTTAAAATATATTACGATTGTGCAGATGGTTAAAGGAATTCTATCAAGATGAGTAAAAATTTATTTCACACTTTGCCGGTGTAATATACCTACTTTATCACAGTACCGTCTCTTTTCATATTGTTCATTCAATACGTGTGAATAAATACAACTCCATTCATTCTATTGCGTATTTATCAAGAGAGATTTCCAAACTTAGATACTTAAAATAAAATTATAGAAGTTGCGTATCTTTTCCTCGTTTCCATTTATTTAAGAATAATATTTAAGAATAATATCCAGGAAATGATTAAAATCGGATGATGTATTCGTACAGGTTTTCTTGGAGTCTACAACAGAAGACAGGCTGTAATCAAAGTTTCGCTACAAATGCTTTGAAGTGTTTGATGAACTAATCAGAAGAAAAAGTTTTACAAATTGACCAATTAAAAAACACTTCAAAGCGTTTGTAGCATCGCGTTGACCGTATCAAATAGTGGTCGTAAAGTCTGTCGTAAAAAATTGACTAATCACGGTCGAATGTGAGGAGAATAACCGACTATGATTGGTCAATTTCCTATGACTTCAGACCTTACGACTTCTATTATAGACCCTTCATAAAGCCTGTGTCATACTATATACATTGGAGATTGAAGATTGCGAATTGAAGATTAGAATTCAGCCAATCAGAACAAAAGGGATTGAAATTAAAATTATCTGATTAGTTGAATTCTAATCTCTAATTCGCAATCCTCATTCTTCAATGCATAGTGTGACACAGGTTAATTATGGAGAGCTTAATTTATCTCTGAAGGGTTGCGTTCGAAAATACTACGCGAGTACCTTCAAGTGTCATTTTATTCTTGTTTAATATTAGGTGAACATCTAAAATATAAAATGATACTCGGAGACACTCGGATAGTATTTTCGAATGCAGCCCTTCAGAGACAAATTAACGTCTCCTTAAACCTGTGTCATATTACACATTGGAGACTAAGGATTGCAAATTAGAGACTAGAACTCGACCAGTCAGATAATTAGCCATGTTCACCTAACCAAAAGGTGGTTAGGGAAACATGGCTACAATCTGATGTTTCAATTATGAGACATGCACATATAAGCACAAAAATCGTGGTAAGACCTCTTTGGAGTAAATAGAGAATCTAGATATCTGGAATAAAAATCTAAAGCTGGAAATATAGTCAACAACATAAAATATATATTTTTTATACTTTTATCGTTTTTTTTCTGTTTTTTATAGAATGCTACATATTAAATAGATATTAAATAAAATTTTTTTTCTTCATACATCTAAAGATAAAATACAAAAACGCTGCAAAAAACAGATTTAATAATTTTTCCATTCTTGTTTGTCTTTTTTTCTGATAAAGAATAACTCCAATCTATAATATTTCTATAGTTGATGAAAAAAATGGCGTGAATTA